CAATACAAGGAATACTTCTTGCAAAATAAGTGGGTGTGGAGCAGCTTCTGATTGAAGGAGATTCTAAGATAGTGGTGGACTGGTTAAATAATCCGGAGGATGTCACTTGGGGCTACAAAAATGAGCTAAAGAAATTCAAATGGCTGACAAGAAATATGTCTATAACAGTACAATGGGTTGAGAGATCAGCTAATGCTTTTGCCGATGTCTTGGCAAAACAAGGGATAAATGGGGAAACATTGTTCTGGGCACAACTATAACTCTTGTTTTAAGCATCAACATTCATGTATTCCCTGTTGTAGTTTGTGTATTTGCTGTTTGGAGAGGCTGCACCTCGCGCCTCTAAGGGGATTTTCTTGTATCTAATCATTATTTTAATGGAATGATTTTATTTATCAAAAAAAAAAAAAACTTCATCTTATGCTATTTACGTAGGAGTGATTGGTGGGGAAGAAACCAAAGCTCATGTCATCTTCCATGTTTGGAAGCTCTTATGTACTGGTTAATGTGGAAGATTCTATTCAGTTGATAAGCTTAGACTTATATGGTGCTCCGAATATATTCTAGAGGCATCTTATTTATGAAAAGTTGGTCTAATTGAGGGAAAGGTGTATAGCATCATCCATTCTGTAGGGTTATCTGATGCCCTCTATTAGATGCATAGTAAAATTCTTATTCAATAATCAGGACTGGGGCTTTTTTTTTCACTTCACAAAATTGATCTAACTATTTGATGAATGATATCTTATGCTTTCTTCACAAGTTTGTTTTCCATGGTTTATGTCCTAATTTTCTTAAACAAATAAGGTAAAAATATATTACACTTTTATAAATCCTCAAAGTTTCAAAATAACACTTTTCTTTTCTGGCATTTGGTTGCATCTCATTCATTGAACTGTTTGATTCAGTTAAGGATTTGCGTGCAACTAGGACGGTAAAATTTTCTCTATATTCTGGATAACATCACAACCTTAAGCTTGTACTTTCTTTCTCCTTTCTTTTTTCTTTTCATGGGATTTCTTTGAGAAGTCATTGAATCCTTCTGTACTAATTTTCCAGGTCAATTTTTTATTTTGAATCAATCCGGAAGCTGCTTGCATCTCCAAACTTCACGTTCTGGTAAGCAGATGGGATGGGCTTGGATCTATATTTGCAGACTATACTTGATCTGCCATTATTCAAATGAACTCCATAGGGTTGCTTAAATTCAGTTGATTGTTTTCATATAGTTATGATGCTCTTCATGGAGTAGCTGGAGCTTATGCCAAACGTATTTTTGTGGAAGAGCTTGGTGCAAGTGAAAGTTCATTGCTTAATTGCACACCCAAGGTATTACTGAATTTAGTATAGGTATCTTGTGTATTGGGTTGTGCTTTTTGGCTTTCTAAGTTTACCTTTTTTCTTTCTGATTTGTATACAAGGCTACTTTTCCTTTTGGGCTAACAGGAAGACTTTGGAGGAGGGCATCCAGATCCAAACCTGACATATGCAAAGGAGTTGGTCACACGCATGGGATTGGGTAAAACAAACCCTGAGAGTGAACCACCAGAATTTGGTGCTGCTGCTGATGGTGATGCAGATCGCAATATGATCCTTGGTAAAAGGTAAGATCACTCTTGACGTTTGATGAGAATTGACATCTTTAAAATATGCTGAATTCTCTTATAATCCAGATTTTTTGTTACTCCATCGGATTCTGTTGCCATCATTGCTGCAAATGCAGTTCAGGCCATCCCTTATTTTTCTGCTGGTTTAAAGGGTGTTGCCAGGTATGTATTATGAATTAGTGTTTCACTTTTTTGTGTTTTCTTGACTGTCACTTATTTAGTACACTTCCATTTTTGTCCTGTTTGAATACAAGTTTCACTGTTTTATATAGGAGAATCCTTTCACTTGGATTACTCTATATACTACCTACTATCCTGCCACTTTTTCAAGTTGGATGCAGTTTGTATTGCTTTTTAGGATCATAGGCTCATAACATGGTTCTTTTGTGATACCATTTTTTTGTTATTATTGTTTTGGTATTGTGGTTTTCAGGAGCATGCCTACTTCAGCTGCACTGGATGTTGTTGCAAAACATTTAAATCTGAAGTTCTTTGAGGTATCTTTTGATACAAACAATGAAGAGGCTTAGATAGAAGTGTCAGACGGTCAGTCTTCTTCCCTTAGTTTGAGAGATTTGATCTGGTCAATCCTTTCTGTTCTATCAGGTACCCACTGGCTGGAAATTTTTTGGGAACTTAATGGATGCTGAATTGTGCTCAATTTGCGGTGAAGAAAGTTTTGGAACAGGTATACTTCTCAATTGTAGGAACATCTTTTTAATTTTTTAGTATATTTTAAGATGCAAAGCAAAGAGTATATTTGTATTTCCTTGTCTCGTGTGCTTACAGGTTCAGATCATATACGTGAGAAAGATGGAATTTGGGCAGTTTTAGCCTGGTTATCTATTCTTGCATACAGGAATAGTGGAAATCTCAATGGGGGAAATCTAGTAACTGTTGAAGAAATAGTTCGTCAACATTGGACTACTTATGGCCGCCACTATTATACTCGCTATGACTATGAAGTATGATTTCTACTGTTCCATATTTTGGCCATTCCTAGCAGTACAAATCACAGATCATCTTTCTTAACCTGTTCAAATTGTTCTTCTAGAATGTTGATGCAGGTGCAGCAAAGGAGCTAATGGCCTATTTGGTCAAACTGCAGTCTTCCCTTCCTGATGTTAACAAGTATGCTCCTTATTGTTCCTAAAGGCTATGCTTTGTTGTAAAACATATAACTTACGAAATTAGGACAGGGCACTGTATTTATCACATTATACATCGGCTTATAATGTTTTCATCTAAATGATCTATCAAACTATCCTAATGCTAGTCCAACTATCTGGCCTCTTGGAAGGGGTGGACTGGATATATTCCTAACCTTCAGTTTTTTTCCCCACAAAGTAGCTGCTCTGAGAACCAGGATTCAAAATATCTGTATTATTATTTTTATTTTTTATTTTTTTTATCAATAACAGGAAGCATTGCATTAATACAAGAGGTTAAAATACAAAGAAGGGGAGATAAAATATCTTAACTCCCCAAGGGATCAGAAAAACATTCAAAAGAAAGAGAAGAACGGTTACAATTGAGCCCAAAAAATAGAATCCCTATGCACCCCTTGCCTAGCTAGTCCATCGGTGAGGGAATTGTCATTTCTCTTTACCCTAATACAACTTATATCAATGTCATTGGTCAACCACTTAAACTTCCTCTTCTCATTTCTGTAGTTCCAGAGCCCAATCTTATCTTCCTTTAACCAACCCACTACCTCAGAATCTCCTTCTATGACCAGCTTATTGATATTCAGGTCCCTAGTTCATTCCTTAGAACTCCCCCAATGCCAAAAGGCCCTGGATTTCCCAAACTGCTACCTTCGAAATTCAGCTTGATGAAGCCATGAGGAGAAGGATTCCATAATGGACTTGAAGTCATCTTAGTTGGGACTGACTTCGCAATTTTCTTCCAGTTTCTTAGCAAATCATCCACTGAGCAGTCTGCAAACAACTCCAATGATTTCAGCCAATGTACTACCGTTATGTGGATCACTTCCATCACACTTTCTAGGCTTCTCTCCTTGTCAGAAAATATTCTTGAGTTCCTTTCCTCCCAAATAGACCAGCATACACTTTCTAGGCTTCTCTTTTCGTTGGCCAGCTGAAGGAAGAAGAGGTAAAATAAGCTTTGCACATTCAGAGGGAAATTCCATCTGCACCCAAACAAAGAAGTAAACCATTCCCAAATACTTTTCTTCCAGGATTCAAAATATTGATACGATATACCTTGTATCAGGTGTATCATATCAAATATTTTGGTGACAGAAAAGCTATTATTTTAGTAGTTTGCATATTTTATTTGTTTTATATGATAATAGTTTGCATATTTTATTTGTTTTACATGATAATACTTGTCTACTGACAAGAAATGAGAAGAAAACTCTATATTCTGCGTATCAAGAGTATCAATACTTTGAACCTTGCTCAGAACCAAATCCATGTTCACACTTTTTTTTTTTTTTGAACTTGAGTAGTATGATGTTGTTATCATTTTGGTCTTGTACCAATGTTTTTGTGATAAGAATGCAATGTTTGGCTAAAATGATATGATATGAAAATCTATCAAAAAAAAAAAGACATGATATGAAAACATTGGGAAATGTACCAAAAAGCATTTGATCTTCTTCTTCTTCTTCTTCTTCTCTCTCTCTCTCCCCCTCTCTCCTCTATTTTCTTTTTTTTTTTTTTTTGCAATTGTAGTGTAGTGTATTTCACAGGCCACGTAAAGTTGATTTCTTAAAACTGTCCAACCAATTTCATTTTATGCCATCATGGAATTCCAGTAGCAGTGTAATTTACAAGTTTGTGGCTTTCTTTTCTGAGTGGTTTGATGTTTCTCTTTTCAGGATTATTAAGGGTATAAGATCAGATGTGTCAGATGTTGTCCAAGCTGATGAATTTGAATACAAGGATCCTGTTGATGGTTCCATTTCAAAGCACCAGGGTATCCGATATCTGTTTGAAGATGGGTCAAGATTGGTAATGGATTTCCATCCATGTCCTCCATGTCCTTTATTATTGAATATTCAGTTAAAAACCATCTCCTGAACAACGGGTGCAACTCGGGTTGGGAATTTTTAATTTTTCAATGGGCCTGAATCCTATCCTGAGCCCAATGTGGTTGAAATTCTTCAAATCAGACAACCAGACTAGTAGCCTTATCCTCAACTGGGATAAAGTGATTCAAAGCTTATTGACTGTGGATTAACCTGGTTTAGGATATCCAACATTAAATAGAGAAACAAAAAGAACTTGTGATATTTTTTATAACATATAATCTTTCAAGGAACTGCTATTTTATATTTATAGTTCCAGCGATTAACATGTCATAGTCCTAATGCTTTTTGATGTTTATGAAGCATTGAAATGGTATTAATAAGCGACTTATGTCGAGTTAGTTATTGAATATAGTTGTAGGATGCAGAAGGTGCCAACCGTCTCAGTTGATAATGAGATTTCTTCTAAGATCTTTTCTTTCTTTATTTTCTTTTCCATTCTCCCCTCTGGTTCTTCTACCTCATATCCCTTAATGTATTTCCAGGTTTTCCGACTCTCTGGAACTGGTTCTGAAGGAGCAACTATCCGACTTTACATTGAGCAGTATGAAAAGGATTCCTCGAAGACTGGCAGGGATTCTCAAGAAGCACTCGCTCCTCTTGTAAGAATCTTTATTTGCTTCATCTCTGTCAACTTTCTCCTATGCATTCTAGTTATCGTTGAATTTGACTACGCTTGCATGTTGAACACAGGTGGAAGTTGCTCTAAGTCTTTCAAAGATGCAGGAATTCACTGGTCGATCTGCACCCACAGTTATTACATAAACTGCTTGCATGCAGCAGTAAGATTTTGATTTCCAAATTTCAGGAGTACGCGATGTCCGCATATGTTAAAACTTTCTGAGCCATGATACTATTACTATCCATCACTCAATCGAGACAACCTGAATAAGTACTTTTTCATTCCACAAAAAGCAAAAAAAGAGGAACTTAGCTTTGTCGTCATCAATTTTAATCTGGTGCAGCAGTTAATCCATTATCATCTTGGTGCAGTTCAAGGATACGCAGTCTTCCTGAATTATGATTTATGAATATGGCCATGCTAAAATCTAATGGTGGGCTGGCCGCTGGGTATTAAGAAAATGGAGCTTACCAACTTCACAAATATCCTAAACGTGAAGGCAAAATATTTGAAAGGATTTTTTTTTCAAATCTCGAAAATAAAAAATGCGTCGTGGGCTTGGAAAGGAATATGTAATCAAAGGAAAAGTTGAAAAAATGCAGAAGTTGGAGAATTGGGAGTGGTAAATCATGCAAATTATGGCTTGGTAGTTGGATGCTGGATGCACCCTTGATAATATGGTCCCGGATCTAAATGAAGTAAAGATTCAAAATAAAAAAGTGGAGGATGTCATCAACCCAACCTCAAATAGTTGGGATTTAACAAAGATAAATACTATGTTTACTGTTTAGAGAAGAAATAGTTCAAAAAATTAAAGCTATTGTTCTTCCATCAGAGAACAAAGAAGATGAGATGGTATGGGGAGTGAGCACGGAGGGCTTATCCTCGGTTAAATCAGCTTATGCCACCCTAAATGATGAAGGGGAGCAAAATGAAATTATAGAAAAATAAGTAAGAAATTAAACAAAGTAATTTGCCCTTCGAAAATAAAGGTTTTCCTTTGGTTGCTATCTAGGAATAAACTACCAACCCTGGTAAACTTAATCAGGAGAGGAATTATTAAGTACGACCCAGACTGTCAACTATGTGGTATATTTATCTCCTGTCAAATGGAAACCCAAGTTTGGTCCCTCGTAGAAGACCAAATCCCAAGGACGAAGTTTGAACTGAACCAGTCATTAGTTGGCTGGTGGATAGATCTAATAAACTCCAAGAATGACAAAACATATCTTTACTTGTGAGAAGAAATCAGCTATCTCCTTTCGTACCTGTGGAAGGACGGGAATGAGAAGGTTAAACAAGGTTAAAAGTATCGATACGCTCCTCCAAGGATTGTATCATATCAGCCACTGATTCAGAGGGTAGCTGGGCCTTAAACCGATCTCTCTGAATCGATTTTAAAAAAATAAATAAATAAAATCTAAAAAAAAAGCATATCGGGCATATCAATATTTTGAACCTTGGTTATAAATAATAAATTTTATAGACCTCAAGAGGTAATTAAAATATATATTATGTGGATCAAGTGGTGCCCCCAAATCCATCAACAATGAAAATAAACTTTGATGCTTCAAAAACAAAAAAGGAAAATGAGAATTGTGCTTTTGGGTGTATTGCAAGAAACTACAAAGGAGAAATGACAAAAATAGTAGCTGGCCCGATTTGCAAAGCTTTGATCATGGTAGCTGAAATGAGGGTTAGTTCGGAGGCCCACAAATTGGCAAAGGTGCTAAGGTATCCTCATGTTATAACAGGAGACTCCAAGGCTGCTATTGAAGTGTTGAAGGGTTCCAGTAAAGCTGCATGGAAGTGTTACATCATCCAAAAGGAATGCACGAAGATTAGGGAGGATGCAGACATTTCGATCAGCTACCAGAATGTGCACAGAGAAGGTAACTAATAGCTCCGTTTGGAAGGAGTACAAATGCAAATATGTAGAATGCACAATCTTGTATTTTGTATATATTTGTACTGTACATATTTACTTTTTCCAATGCTTAAGCATCTGACCAGCTCAAGGGATTGGACCCCAAAGAGGCCTTAGCTGTCCAACCGTGCCATCATAAAGCTCCACACAATCAGCCCATGCCATCTTGGCCGTCTCTAAAAAATGAGCACAAGTTCATATATGTAAGCCCATGGGCCCGTTGAGCTTGGTCCATGACATTATTGACATAGAGACATGGGTTTGACTACTAGATGACAATAATAAATTCACCCTCCAACAGCTCAATGTCAAATACAAGAAAAATACTCGCAAAGCTTAATACATAATTTTTTTACGCCTTAAGTTCATTCATAAATGCTTAGGTTATAAAGTAGAAAAATTAACAGCAATGAAAAATACAATAAAAAAAGCATGTTAAGTGTGCTAAGACAAAAATAAGTAACCAGAAGCACTGAGAGAAAAAACGATTTGAGAAATCTCTGCAACTGATGCAAATTTAAGTAACGCCAAAAATAAATCAGCCTTTTTGGTGTTACTTAAATTTGCACCAGAAATTATAATTGTTTGAATGCTTATGTGGTAAAAAGCATCTGTTTGGGGGAATTTCTCATGACAACCCCTTTTAATGGTATAGCCAATGTCAAGATTGAAGTTATTGAGTATTAGGCTAAAATAAATCAGCCTTGAGAATTCAGGTACGTAATAAAAGAAATAAAGTTGCATGAATCAGTATATCAACATTATTAGTCTGGAGTTCTTTGAATCCTAGGTATATTTTTTTCTTCCACTTTTTTCCAAGCCTATGCCTGAGCTTTTGTCCTATGGCTATGAGGGGTGCAACTTGAGCGGATTAAGATTCGGATTTTGTAAAAATTTGAATGAACCCACCCAAAGCATGAGACCGAAACAGTGGGCCAACCCGAGTTGCATCCATCTGAAACCAGTCTTGTAAAATTGGTTTTAATTTTGAAGTTTGTCTTACTGAATTTTTTTTTTAGGGGGGGGGGCAGCCTATTTCTCCAATATATGAATGTTGTGGCCCATATCCAACAGATCAAGACCCTCTCGGTCTTTCTCAGTCTCAGTCCGATCTGCTTTTCTTAAGGTTGCATCAACCTCACAGCACTTGCAGCCATACATCAAAAACATCTCTTATATTGTATATTGACATTCATGGGAAGATTTCTATTCCTAATACACTACTACTGACGTTGGTGTAAATTAAAGAGCAGAGCGGGATTCCTCTCAGTCTCATATAAGATATAACAGAGAATTAAAACAGATAAGCGCGCGAGATTTTTCCCACTTGTAACCCAGCGTTCTAGAATGATCTTTTTTAAGTCGTCTCGATCTGAAATATTGAAGGGACCAATTAACAATCTGACGCTTGCACGAAACTTTCATTTTTTTCCTAGTATTCTTACCCGTACCTAACCAGTTTAATTTATTAATTTTTCTATATTCAGAACTTATTACCAATAAATCGTTCCTCATTTGACCTATAATTTGTTAGGACTTTACAAAATCAAAGTCGGTTTGGTTATCAAAATTCACAAGTGAAAATGACAGAAAAGCTGTCAGTAGTTGGAATTCATATAATTCTAACTGTTTTGCCCCTCATTAAATTTTGTACATTAAATAATTTTCATGTTATGATTTAGACACTAATAATTTAACATAATTCAGATTAACTAAATGTGATGGCTATAAAAGGGGCGGTGGAAGTGATAACACCGAGTAGAACAGTATGACGAAAATATATTGATAGGATAAAGCTTAGATGATGATAATGATGATTTGAACACCCCTTTTCTGATAAACCAATAAAC